CTTAGAAAAAGAAATTAAAAATATTCTTAATCGGAATCCTGATTTACAAAAGAGAAGAGGATCGACGGAGATCATCTCCTTTGTTTAAAACTGGGTTCTTCACGGTAGCGATGAGATGCCTCTCTCAAAACTCGCGTCGAGTTTGCTTCTCGTTGACGATCCGACGTTTAAACTCGTGGAACATGGTTGAATCCTCTTGATTGATGTTGAGGATAATTTGCGTGGCAAGTTTGAAAATAACTCTTAACGAGTTAGGCAATTCTGAGCGAGTTATAACTCTGTAGAAGAGTTAATTGGTTTAACTAAAATCAGTTTCAAGCCAAATAAAAGCTCCAAGAGTAGCTCCAGAAGATTCGAAGATTGCCAAGATCCGATCTGCCAAAGAGATCTCTCCCGTCCCAAAAGCCAGCCTTTAACTCAGTTGAGTTTGTTGAGATTTATAGCGGGATTAAGGGGTGTAACTGCCTCCTTAATTCGCTCCTAAGTAGGAGAGTGATCCCCTCAAATCATGAAAAATGGTTTTGAAACCGCCAGTTCATATTTGAACGAGTCAAACGCAAAATCCGCGTTCTGGCATGAATTATGCGTTTGAACGCAGTGTCTGGAAGCTCGGACGCAGCGTCTGGAAGCTCGGACACAACGTTTGGAAGCTCGGACGCAGCGTTTGAAAGCTGTGTTTGCAGCAATTTAGAAGCTACGTTAGTAGCTTGTTGGAAGCTGCGTTGGTAGCTTAGAAGCTGCATTTGGCAACGGATGGAAGTTGTGTTAGCAGTAGTTAGAAGCCGCATTGGCAACTTTTAAGAGCTACATTTGGCAGCGTTTGCAGCTGGATTGAAGCTGCATTTGCATTGCTTTGACTCTAGAACGAGGCCACTTGCGTTTTGATTTGAAGAGACCGTCAATTTGTAGTCTCTTTTGCTAGAGCGTTGTAAAGATCATCATCCTGTAACCTTCATCTTAGCTCCTTGAAAATATGAGAGTCGTCAGATTGTAACTCTCTATGCTGATTGTGAAGGCTGTTGAATTAGAGCTTTCATTGGTTATTGTGAAGGTTGTCAGATTATAGTCTTCATCGATCTACGTGAAAGTTTTTAAATTGTAGCCTTTTGGAAGCCGTCAAATTGTAACTTCCATCATCGGTATTTGATGGGGATCAACTATCTGTAGTAATTTTTAGACAGCCTACACTTCTCTATCCTTGACTTTAGTGTATACTGAGAAAGCTAATTCATCACCACAAATATGGCGGGTAGCTCCAGAGTCTACCACCCAATTCTTCTCCCCAGCAGCTAGATTGACTTCAGAGACAAAAGCTATAAAAACATCTCCTTGAGCAAAATTTGCTTTCGGAGGATTGTTGTTGTCATCTTTGTCTCTATTATTATCTTTTCTGTACCTGCACTGAAAAGCATGGTGTCCCGATTTGCCACACACTTAGCAATTACCTTTATTTTTCTTCTTGAAGGTACCTCCATTAACCTTCAGGTCCTTTTGATTTTTGTTAAATGACTTCTTTTTGTTCTTATTGAACTTCTTGTTAGGTTTATCTACAGCAATATTAGCTTTGGAATCAAATTCCTTAGCTAAATTAACATCTTGATTTTTGTTAAATGACTTCTTTTTCTCTATATGGATGTGAACAATCACATCTTCAAGAGACATTTGTTTCCGCTTGTGTTTCACACGATTTTTGTAATAATCCCAGGACTCAGGGAGTTTTTCAACCAAACATCCAGCAATAAAGGAATTAGGTAAGGTAATTCCCTCAGTTTTCAAATCACTGATAAGTATATGAAAATCATGAATTTGAGCAGAGACATCTTTCTCTTCATTCATCTGGAATTTCAAAAAATTGCCTATAGCATATTTTTGTGTACCAGCATCCTCGATAATATACTTATTTGTCATCCCCCCCCACCATATTTCGTGTGCATTCTTATAGGAGCAGTAAATATCGAAGAACTCATTTGATAAGGTAGATAGGATGGTATGGCGACATACCTTGTTACCTTTCTTCCAAGCCGCTAGCTTTGCTTCATAATCTACCGAACCTGGTAGAGGTTCCTTTTCGGTGAGATATTCAGCATAGTTGAGAACATCAATGACATCAAAAACTCTTTCCTTCTAGTGCTTGAAATGATCTCCCTAGAACTGTTCAATCTTCGATATATTTGGGAGAAGTTGCTTGGATAAAAAATTCTCCTGCGGAACGATGGTCGAGACTCCATTGATGTTTATGGTTGCAACATCAGAGTTGGTGACACCATCTTCTGATCTAGTCATTGGACAAATCTTTTCTTAAGATTAATGGTGTAAATTGCTTATGATCGGAACAAATCACAGGGTGTGCGAACTACCGAGACATGTAATCACTGTCCTTAAGAAAAAAATCCGCCCCTCCTCGATGCAAAAGGATGTAGTAGCGTCTTTCCTCACAGGATTCAACGGCAAACAACAGGTTAAGGTGCACTCCAATAACCTGTTCTACAAAGAACATCAAAGATCTCTCTCTGACACGAAGGAAGATAGAGCACAGAAGGTTTTCAGTGTTCCAACTGAGGAGAACAAGTCTCGATTTATAGATAAAAATTAAAACTGTAGGAAAACCAAAGGTTGAACCTCTTGGGAACACCAAAGATTGAAAAACGTTGGGAACACCCAGAGTTAAAAAATGTTGGGGAAACCAAATGTTGCAAAATAAATAACAAACACCCCACATCTTTTTCAATGTGGAACTAAACATTTTTTGCCTTTGTGTATTTGAAATACCCAACATATGAGATCATGGAGGAGTAAGTTCGGATTCTTCTTCAGGTTGCTAGAGGTTTTATGTAGTTTAATTCCAAAGTAGACGCTTGTTAGTCCGGCTAGCCTTAAAAAAAAAACTAACAAAAGACACTTCTAACTTCATGATTATCCTAAATTATCTTTTCAAACCCGACTATAAATTGTAACAATGAGATTGCTGATAAGAACGCCTAGAGATGAGGGAGTGCCAAGGGCGAGGGGGAAAAAGAGGGCGGTAAATGGGATTAGGGTGAGCTGGACGTTGAAGATAGGAAGAAAAGGAGGGAGAATGATACAATTGATATTCATCAAATATAATGGACATTTGCAATGGGTTTTTTAAAAAAATTGAGGAGGTTTCACATATTACTGGTCAACCTAAGGGTGTAAAGCATAGCTGAAGATATACAAGGAGGTGGAAGCAATTTTCCCTTTGAATAATTGTTCATTATTGTAATAGCATGCAACCAAATATGTACTTTACAATTTTGGATATATAGTTCAAACAATACGTTCTTCCAAGTTAGGGTCAATTTGATATTTGCTTTTCTGGATGCTTTTACATTTTTTTAAAATCAGTCAATAATGATGTTTGGTAAAATTTTCTTTTAAATACTTACTGAATTGCTTCTACCTTTAAGGAGGTGCTTTTAGAAACAATCTCGGAATGCTTTTAAAAGCAGATTTTATTTTTTCTGTTTATATATAACCTTTAACTTTTAACAATAATTTTTAAGCATAGTTTTAACAAACATCTTAATTGCTTTTGGAATAAGCTTTTAATATATAATTATTAAACGATTATTTTTAGCAACTGAAATAATTTGCTTCCAAAAGCTACTTATATAAGCACTTATTATAAGTTCTAGCAATATTAAATTGGTTCTTTGACCCCCAATTTATTGAAATTGCTATTAGATCCTCTAAGTTTTATAAGCTATTTTGAAGTTACTCCCCTAAATCAATGAAATTGCTACTAAGCCCCCAAGTTTTCTTAGTTGTTTCAAAAATTCCCCTCCAATCAAGAGTATCATTTGTCAGATATAAGAGGCATATGCAATGGATTTTAAAAATTGATCGAGGGAGTTTTCACATATTAATGGTCATCCTAAGGGTGGAGCACATAGTTGAAAATATGTAGGGAGGTGGAAGCATTTTTCCCTTTGAATAATTGTTCATTATTGTAATAGCACGCAACTAAATATGTACTTTACAATTTTGGATATGGTTCAAATAATATGTTCTTCCAAGTTAGGGCCAGTTTGATATGTTTTTTTGGGTGCTTTTACTTTTTCTTAAAAAGCAGTCAATAATGATGTTTGGTAAACTTTATTTTAAATGCTTATTGAAATTACTTCTACTTTTAAGATGATGCTTTTAGAGGCAATATCAAGAGGAATTTAAAAGCACATTCTGCTTTTTTTTCTTAAGTTTACATACAACATTTATCTTTTAACAATAATCTTTAAGCACAATTTTGCCAAACACCTTAATTCCTTTTAGAAGAAGCTTCCGATGTATAATAACCAAATAACTATTTTCAGCAGGTGAAATAAATTAGTTGTGTAAGCTACCTATATAAGTAACTTATTATAATATCCAATAATATCAGACTAGCCCTTAGCCCCCGACCCCCTCTACAATCATTGAAATTGCCATCAGGGACTCCGAGTTTTATAAGAACTTTTTAAATTACTCCCCTAAATCAATGAAATTGCTATTAAGCCCCCCAAGTTTTCTTAGTTGTTTCCCAATTTCCCCTCCAATCAAGAGTATCATTCGTCATATTTAAGAAATTAATGGGCTTACTAACAATTATAATGATTCGAGGGGCTAATTCAGAATAGGCTAAATATCATAAACCCCCCCTTTACTTTGGATGATCATCGAAAAAAACCACATTAACTTTCAAAATATCAGAAATACCCTGTTTAAGTACTGTGATTATCACAAAGCCCCCTTCAACTTTTATATTTTATCAGAAAACCCCCTTTATTAACCTTGAGATTTTATCAGAAAACCTAGGGGGTTTTTGATAAAATCTCAAAGTCAAGGGGTTTTTCTGATAACCCTTAAACTTGAGGGGGTTGTCTGATATTTTCAAAGTTAAGGGGGTTTTCTGGCAATCATCCAAAGGTAAGGGAGGTTTTTATGATATTTACTTATTTAGCCTTCAGAATAATAGTTGAGCTTCGAACCTCTACCATGCCCGACCCGTTACCCGTTACCATGCCTACAATCTCCCTCTTCGTTAACGAGATGGGGGAGGTTTGTCGCCGCGGCCATGGAATCAAGCTCGGAGGCCGGCAGCACGCACCTCGAGGAAAAGCTGAAATCTTTACTCTCTCATCTACAAACAGAGTCTGGGATCCTCGACAGGCTCGTATACAAGAACAAGAACCAGCATCGGCGATGCCCTTATTTCCAAGCCCTTCAAAAGGTTCTTTTTTTTATTTTAATTTTTTGGTATTTTTGATCATCTTGCAGTTGAAAGTGTTTGATTTGTTTTAGGTTAGAAGAGATGTGAGGTTACTGCGGTCAGCAGGATTGGAGGAGATTTTGGGAGTTTTGTTTCCGATTATTGATGGGAAGAAACCAGCTCAAAGAGCTTTTCTCCCGAAGAAGTAAGTTTCAGTTCTTTCTTGTTTAATGATTTAATTAGATTTTCTTGTGATTTCAGAGTGTTCTCTTAATTGGGTCTGCGACAAAATCTGTATGTGTACGCGCGTGTGCGCGCGCGCACACACACACACAAGTTTTTAGCTCTATCAGACAGGAATCAGGGGAAAAAGATCTCATAATAGAAAAAAAATGAATTAATAACATAAGGAAAAAAAAAGAAAAAAAAAGGAAAAAGAACAAAGTGTTGTGCAACACTAGTTTTTGAGAGCAATGTGTGGTAAAAGGCTGCTGTTGACAAGGTTGTAATTGTCATGGCTTTATGATTAAGGTTGTAATTATAATAAACGCTAATGAAAATAATTATATGTAAATGATTTAATCACATTGGCTCAGTTCTTTGTTAATTATTCAAGTCACTATTTTTTGACAAAAAAAAAAAAATACCCTGATCTTCCTTGAGGTTTTATCACTGAAGTGATGTTCAGAGTTTTTTATTCAATTTGAGTAAAATTTGAAGAATCACCTGAGATCATCGCTGGAATCGTGTTCAATATTTGATGAAAACCTCCTACATATGCTGTTAAAAAACTCTCTAAAATATGATCAATATACCCTAAACGTTAGAATAATTTGAAATCTTTTAACCCAAAAGATTCTTTGGTTTTCTATAAATGTATAATTATTTTATAATTCATTATACTAAGGGTTGGATTTCGGAAAAATATTTGATTCGGTAATATTTTTAATAAACTTTTTAATTTTTGTTTTTGTTAAGGTATACTGAAACAAATTTGAATAAGGAGAAGGCTGGAGGAAAGAGAGGGAAAGAAGATTGAATATTAAGATAAGATTAAAATTCTGATTTTAAGTTGAAATGAATAAAATTTTAAACATGACCATAATAATAAAAAATAAGGTGGATGATGAGGTATATCTGTTAATAGGACAGTTAAATGCATCATCATTAAAATAAAAGGAGGAAGTCTAATGGATTCAATCATGCAAAGTTAGGGTGTTTTGATCTATGAATAAGCACATGTAGGTTTTCTGATTTTAATGATTACTTTAGGGGGTTTTCTGAAATCCACCCTAAATAGTACAACTGAAAGTTACTGTTCTTATTATTACGCAGATGTAAATATAACTTTGTACAGTTGACTTCAAACACCACCTTGCCACATTTCAGACTTATTATTACTGTTATTGCAGGCAAAAGAAAAATAATCCTATTGGGAAACATAACTACCAGGAGCGTCTATTAGGTGTTGCGCGATTACTATCACAGGTTTGCTAATATTTCTCAAGTACAATTTGATTCCATTCTTCAATTTCTCCATTGCAATGCAAGTTGATTGCTGTGGTTACTTCATTAACGGAGTTGCTTTTTCTCTTATGGTTCTTATATATTTAAAACATGTCCATTTGTGGTTATAAAAATTAATGATTAAGCTTTAACTTTTATGAATCACAGTCTGTTACAACAACAAATCTCCACAAGCCTTTTTTCCTGATGTTTTTATTGCTATATCAAGCTTTTGTTTACCACTTTTTTGCGACATTGACTGCTAAGTTTCTGGTTGTTTCCTTGTTGTAGATGGCTGAACCTATCCTGAAGGCAGCGATGTATCCTTTCCACGTGTAGTAAAATTATTGTTTGTTGTAAATATTCTGAAGTGATTGTTATTGCAATCATAAATACTTGGAACAAACTGCTCATCTGGATTGGCAAGAAATTTCTCTTTTTCAGATTCACTGTTATTATTTCAACCTCTAAAAGCTGTGTTTTGACTTGCAGTAATGAAGTAAAAGAAAATAATCTGGTTGTATCCTTTATCTTTTACAGTCAGATATCTTTCTTGCTTGCAAAATCATTCTTCACAGGATTTTCATTGACAACCTTGGCCTTGCTTTCACGCCTTCGAGTTTTAGTTCAACAAGTAAGCATTCTCGAGATAATTTCAATTTATATACATTTCTATGTATCATAGTTTAAAATGATATATGAAGAATATCATAAGTTTGGCTTTTGAGGCATTATATATGAACTGCTATGCATAATGACATTAAGTTTTGATCATAAACTATAAAATTTGAATATACCTATAAATATAAATTGTACGATGCAGAATGTATATGCTGATTCACACTAACTCATAGAACAGATTGGATGCAGGTCATAGTTAATATAAGTATCACTCACCACCTATATAAAGAATGTACTCATCTAGCCAAGAAAACCCCCACCCTTTCTACTTATGGGAAACCATATATACAGTTTCCCTGGAACAACTGACTACTTAGAGAAATAGTTTACATTAAATTACAATTCTTGGTTACTTTTCTTTACATTTTATGATTTTTATTCTTATATATGAAGATTTTAATTTATTATTTGACTAAGCATTTTGATGCTTTATTAGAGGCTATGTAGGACACAATGCTTTATTAGAGGCTATGTAGGACGCTTCCACTCATTAGAGATTGGTGTACCCGACACATCTTGTTATGATATGCATCCCACACTTAGGGTTGAGCAAACGGTCAGATCGTTCAGTTTTCTTGCAAAATGAAGGAAAGGATAAAGTTGTTTCTTTTAACTTTGTAAGCCCTCAAAGTTTGAAAAGCAGCTGGAATATCACATAGGCTGAGGTACTTGATATGTAATCTGATTCGGAAGATAAATGTGCATAGACAGGATTTCTGAGATCATTATTGCACACATCCATTTAAAGTATGCAGCTGCGAAACTTGGAACCAGTCATCTAATGGCGATCTCTTATTAATAGCAGCAAGTTTTTGCACAATTTCAAATTCCATTTAATTCTCTATGCATTATTTTATACTTGGTGACACGTGTATATTGTAGAAAAATATATTTGCTCCTCTTCGACTTTCTTTCTCATAAACTATTTGGTTCTTGATTTGGACCATGCCATGAAGAAATATAAGCATGAAGGATATTTTGTTTTACCCATTTGAATTTCTAGTTCTTAAACTATTTGACACTCAAATTGGACTGTGCAATGAACTAATATAAGAATCAATGGTACTTTGTTTTCCCAAGAATCCCATGGGCATTATCTTTCAACCTACAGACTTGTTCACTGAGACCCTTTTAATTACTTTTTTCTCTTTGCAGATTTTACTTGATGTAGTTTTGGTATTCAACAAGGTCTCATCTCTCTCTAAGCAGAAGCAGTCAGTAAAACTGACTCAGGGTTTTATTGAGGTCAGTTATTAAGAACCGACTTATTTTGGTGCCATATATTTCATTCATACTGAAGCATTTGTTTTTGAACTTTCATGAGTTGGATGTAGGATTGTAATGAATTCATATCGATTCGTCGTAAACTATCGAAAATATCTTGTGATTATGCAGGCTTTTAGGGAGTACTATCCTTCCAGTGGAGAGGTTCTTATATTAGAATGTGTTTGGGAAAAGGACAAGTTTGTGTTACTTGAAAGGACAAATAATAACAATACGAAGAACCAAGAGGAGGATCCAGGAGCTCTTCCTTTGGAGACATCAATAAAGTATGAAACTGTACCATTTTTCATTAAAGGTAATTATCCCTTATGTTTTGATCATCCTTAGCTCTAAATATTTGTGGTACATCTAATCCAGTAACTTCTTATACATTGGTTCTATCTCGTAGTATATGTAGATTAAATATACAACCATTAAACTATAGATTTCCCAGTAATGCTGCAGATAATTTTGTACTGTGCCGGAGTTTCTGAGGAAGCTAGAATAGATAAAAATAGGACAAAGTGACCATTTCGGCATTTCCCTGAGTATTGTGAACTCTCAAGTTGCCACTTAAAAGTGTCAATTTGCCTACTTTTCCCCTTAAACTATGTGTTTGTGTCCAATGTGATTATTTTGTGTCTACTGACATGTCAGTGTTTTTCTTGCATTCTAAAATGACTTGAGAGTTAAAAAGTTTTGGGAGAAAGTGGTTAAAAATGTTTTTTAGTTTGGGGAAAAAGGAGATAAACTGATAAAAACCCATAAAGAAATACAAAAAACACTGTATATGCCATTAATCTGATGAATATTTGATTGTAGGCTCACAAAATGATCATATTCTATGTTGCATAGATACGGGTACGGGTACGAGACACGACAAATTTGTAAAAAGTAGGGTACGGGGACACGATTGTATATATATAAAATAATTCACTTTAGATCAATATTGAATTAAATACCTATTACATTTTCATATTTTTTGTTATGTGAAGTGGAGATTATAAATAAGAAACTAAAGGAAAGTGCATGTTGCATGTGTGAATTAAGACGTCGGGATGACAATGATCTCTTGGAGAATTGTAGACAATAATATTAAAGAAGACGAGAAAGAGAAGAGGAATATATAGAAAAATAGATCAATTTGTATGTTATATTATTATGTAACCTTAGCTTGTATAATCAATGACAAATATAAATTATGTAACCGATTTGAAGATAATACCAAATTCTAATTTTTATTACTTTCATCTTGAGCATACAAAAACTTGGTAGTGAGATGGATTAATCTTGTCCCTTCATCTAATAATGAGTGAATGAACTTTTCAAAAAAAAATTAATGAGTGAATGAAGAAGAATTGATATACTTTTGTAAAAAAAACCCACAATTTGAAAAAAAGAATGAGCTGGCAAGTCTCTCTTTCCTCTATCTCCCCCAGATATTCAATCTCAATCTCTCTCCTCTCAAACTCAATCTCTCTCTATCTCTCTCCTCTCAATCTCAATCTCTCTCCCCTCTCAATCTCAATCCCTTTCTCTCCCCCCTCTCTGAGCCCCCCCCGCTCCACCGTCACGCACTCCTCCGTCGCCCTGACCACGCCGCCGCGACTCCGCCGCCGCCAGCAGTAGCCTCGTGGTCCGGTCGCGGCCAAGTCATTGGCGCGGAGGAGTGGTGGCGGCGGCGGAAGAGTCGTCGCGACTGCTCCGCGGATGCTTCAGAGGAGGAGGAGAGTCGCGGCTGCTTCGGCGGATGCTTGGGCGGAGGAGTCGCGGCTGCTCGGGTGGATGTTTGAGTGGAGGAGTCATCGCGCGCTGGCTCCGCCGGATGCTTGGGCCGAGGAGAGTTGTTTCGTGTCCCCTCCGTTTGGGTGCGGAACCATACCCAAACCGCACCCGACACGGGTGCGACACCCATTTTGTCGTGTCGGGGTATCATAGATCATATTGAAACCATAAACATAGTTTGAGGGTAAAATAGGTAAATTGATACTTTTAAGGGGTAATTTGGGAGTTCACCAATACTTTAAGGGAGAAATGATCATTTTGTCGCTCTTGTATCATTGTAAATTTTTTAGCAAGAGCCTAGAGTTCGGAATATTGCTTAGAAAATCACATCAATGCATGGTCAGTGTTGGTGTCATAAGCTTCCAAGTAGGCGTGCAAACCAACATATATGATTCTTACCATATCCATACCCGTTTACTAATCACAGAATATGGATATATCTCAGTGTGGAAAACTCATCCATATCCCGCCAAAATCGCTTACCAACACAAATAGGAGAAAGTATATCTGGGTATGAAACAAATATGAGGAAACGAAATAAGATAGATGGTCATATGACACTGAATATAATAAATTTCTCAAATGACAGTCCATTAATATTTTCAAATATCTGAAAAGTTAAGATTAGATCTCTAGATCATCAAAACTGACCTTACATTCATTAATCTATAGTTAAAACAATTATAACTGTATGATCGATACATGTATTTGGATACGGATCCGAACGTTTCATATATATATATATATATATATATATATATATATATATATATATATATATATAGTAAGACTCCTATCAACTTAAGTTGATGTCCACCAAACTTCTAGCCACTCATTTATTAATAAAAAGCCTTTTCATATCATGCAAAGAATGCCCTAGGCATTATGAGTGGCTAAAAAAGTTTGGTGGATAACTTTTTGCTATCCACTTAATAACACAAGTTTTGCTATATTATATATATATTATATTATATATTATATATATATATATTGAGATTAATGGATATCATTGTCATAGGAGTGGATTTCGCTCCTTGACGCCTATGTGGCACAATCCCACCATCCTTATAAAATAGACACAAATTCCACACCAACTCTCACACACTCTCTCCTATTTTATGAGGATGGTGGGGATTGTGCCACATAGGCGACAAGGAGGGAAATCTCCTCCTATGACAAGGATCTCTCTCTCTCTCTCTCTCTATATATATATATATATCCATATCCTACTGGATAGAAATACTATTATCCATATCCATATCAAGTATAGATATCTGTGGATATCTGTATCCGTTTTGCTTAGGTTGTAGCTTCTTCAGCCTTATCCCACGATAATCACCTCGGTCCTGGTATGCCTGTATAAACTGGTTGGGAGAAGGGTTATTCAAAGCCGAAACAAACCTAGATCAGGGTTTACTCAAGAAGTGATCGAGTCAAAAGGTTTGTTCAATATCAGAGTCAAGGGATGAAGTCAACTTTCTCCGTAAAAATAACTTGATATTTTAAAGAAAATACATGCAAAGCAGACCTACCTTCAGAGATAAACATGCTAAAAAGCACATTCTTAAGGATGTACATTTTGAAAAACACAAAAATGCATCTAACTGTTTCCTCTAATTTCATGGGGTCAATCTTAATATATTTAACCCCTATCGCATGATATGATTTTGTACTTTTTCAACTTAAGATTATCAAACCCAGTGCAGGAGGAGGTTGGTTCTGTTATTGGCCATTTATTACTTGTGCCTCCTCTGTATGTGATATTCTTACGGATTTTTTTTTATAAATTTCAGCTCTGCCTGCTGAGCATGAACAAAATCCAGACACACCAAATTGCTCCCCATCAATGGAGAATTTACATGGTGAAACTCAGACTGCAGTAATTACATCTAAAGATCAACCTGTTATTATCAGTGACAATACATGAGTTGCTGATTTTTGAAGATTTTCACTTGAGAATTCTTTTGAGGGAAAGCTATTTGTAAGTATCCTTGGAAAGTCTTCATTGCAAATCTTGTTATTGTTGAGGACTATCCACTTTGAAGGAGATGCATCGATCTGTGCTCTAAACAAGCAAGCTGGAGACTGAGCAGAAACATGAGGAGAGATGTTTAAACATTTTTGCTTGTTTGTAGAAGCTTTCTCTGGCCATGTATGGCTTTTATATTTTGATGAAAATTTTGCACAGATTATGAAACATGCACACTGTAAGGGTGTGTTTAGCAAAATGTCAAAAAATGGGCCAAGATCAGTCATGGCTCAGTTTTGGAGGTTTGCCAAATAGAAAAACATCCAAAACTGAGCCAATTTTGGCCCATTTTTCTGCCAAACAGAAAAACACTCGGTCCTGGTCCGATTTTGGAGGTTTGCCAAACACACTTTTATTGTATTTCTTTGTATCAATTCAATTTAGTGTATGTTTAGCGGTTTATGGTAACGGAGTGAAACTATACTTTTCTGGCAAGTAACGCTTCAGATGTGCTTTGTTTTACCATCAGTTCTCGTCTATTGGCATGAAGATATATGTAAGATTTTCCTGGCACGTGTCCTTATGTAAATGCACTGGTTGAAGTAAAAAATTAATAAAATTATAATTTTCTATGTTTTTTTATATATTAAGCATTTGATCCAGTTTGATTATGAAGGTTGTCTAGTTTTACCTCTTGGTTCCAGTATAGGCTGTCTAAAAATCACTGCAGATAGCTGATCCATATCAAACACCGATGATGAAAGTTACAATTTGACGGTTTCCAGAATGTTAAAATTTAAAGACTTTCATGTAGATCGATGAAGGTTACAATTTGACGATTTTCACAACAACTGATGAAAGCTTTAATCAACAGCCTTCACAATCAACATCGGGAGTTACAATCTGACGATTTTTACATATCAAAGAGCTAAAGCAAAGATTACAAAATGATGATCTTTGCAATGCTTTGACAGAAAGAGATTACAAATTGACGGTCTCTTCAAATCAAGACGCGGAAGTCCTCCCCGCGTACCACCATCAAGATGCATCGCGTTCACAGCCGCTGACGCAGTGCAAACACAACTCACATTCAACTCCAAACGCTGCAAACACAACTTAGATATAGCTGTCAACGCAGCTCATGTTCGACCGTAAACACACCCTCCGAAAGCTGCCAACGCAGCTTCCAAATCGCTGCCAACGCAGCTTCCAAATCGCTGCCAACGCAACTTCCAAATCGCTACAAACGCAGCTTCCAATTGCTACAAATGAGCTTCCAGACGCTGCGTCCGAGCTTCCAGACACTGCGTTTGAAAGCATAATTCACGTCAGAACGCGGATTTTGCGTTTGACTCGTTCAAACACGAGCTGAACGGTTTCAAAACCGTTTTCAACGATCTGAGGGGATCACAATTCCACTCAGGAGTGATTTAAGGGGTAGTTACATCCCATAAGCCCTACTTAGGAGCGAATTAAAGAGGCGGTTACACCCTTTAATCCCCTATAAATAACTAAGAAATCAGTTTAGTTTGAATCCTTCTCCTCGGCAGCAAAGAAGAGATCCTTGTTAGACCCTAGAGGGGGGGTGATTAGGGTCTTATGCTAATCTAATCCGATGAAATGCCAATTAAAACTAATTAACAAATATATTCTTGCAAGATAGATATACAAAGAGTTATGTGCAAGAATATGTAATATACACAAGATGATATATCCTATATGATAGAAATATATGCAAGGATATATAAACAATAAGATATACCCTAACAAAGAGATATAGACAATGTATGTGCAAGGATATAAAACTAACAAGAGGGGTAAATAAATTAACTACAAATGTGATAGGGCAAAATGATCAACAAGCAATATACAATGGCGATGTAAGATATGAATATGAAAACAAGTGCGCCAATGCAATCACAAACAAAGTATATGTTTACGAGGTTCGGTCCCCACGACCTACGTCCCCGCTCCTCACCTCGAGGAGATCTCCACTATCACAACCGGGTTTTCTACGTTCACCCGAACAACGTTTACACCTCACAATACAATCACTATGTAATCACACCTCACACACTAAGTGTTGGTCCTAGCCCGTGTCCTCCTCCTCAAGTGCTCGGTTACAACCTCTCCCTAGGCACGTCAACCGACGCCACTCCTCTTGGATTCGACCCCGTCTCTCACCACACACTTCTCTCGGTGTACAAGTGTATTACAAGTGAATCCTCACAATTAAGCACAATATAAATCAATTGATTGTTCTCTAAACAAGGTGAGAACTCAATTAAGCTCACTCTCAATGTCACAAACCCACAACCCTAAATTATACTATGAATGTAAATACAATAAGCTCAATAGGTTGTGTGTGAACAAAGAGTATCAATAAAATGATTAAACTTAATATATAAATCTAGCTTATGGAAATTAAGATCAAAATAATAAATAGCTAGAATTGAGTTTAAGGAAAACTTCTCTATAGATCAAGAGTGAGAGAGAGATGAGTTGAATGCCCAAACACCAAGGAATGATCTCCTCTTTGCTCTTGTGAAATTTGCTTCACAAACTAAACTCAAACAAACTCTTAAACTCTTTTAAACAAAACTTAAACCCTTGATTAAAAACTTTCTTAAACTTGTTTTAAAACTCTCTTAGCTAGATTGAAAGAAAACAGCAATGGGGTATTTATACCCACTTGAAATCTCAGCCAAAACCCCAAAACAGAAAGACCAAAAAGCCCCCGAAAAATCAGCTCAGAAATAGCCGTTAGAACCAACGGCTCTATTGGCGGTCGACCAAAAATTCTGTCGGTCGACCGATGGAAAAGTTCGGTCGACCGACGGAAAATTCGGTCGACCGTTATCCAGGTCGAAAACGAGAAACCAAGCAGGACTTATCCGGTCGACCGGTGCGGTCGACCGAAGGAAGCTCTCGGTCGACCGGACCGGTCGACCGACCAACTCTCTGGACCATGCTGACGAAAGAACAAAC